GGCGGAGCGCGGAGCGGAGTCTCGGCGGAGCGGAGTCTCGGCAGAGCGCGGAGCTGAGTCTCGTCTATGCTCATCTATTTTAATGTTGAAATGTTTACATTATTGTATCTTTATGATGTGAAATGCTGAATGTACTTGTCCATTTTCTAACATATTGTTACATGTTGTGTTGAACTGTATTATATTGTGAATGAAATTCCTTTTAACTTTAAGTTGCTATTGTTGGTTTCATTATGGTCCATCCACCTGTAGTTTCAGTCACTTTTTTTACAGCAGTTAGAATTAGAACAAAGGTTTAAAAATAACTTCATTACAACCTGCTAACATAAATAACTACACTATTACATTTCAGAGCTATTCACTGCTAACTATGTTTTAAAACAACTGACTCTAGATGTGATACATTATAAAAAGGGAAGCAAGTGTTGTTTACTGGTGGTGCATTGCAAATATGGTTTAATCTTGATAATTTTAAATGAACCAAACTAAATCCTGAAGAAAACACAAACTGACCCCTTCACCCCTTAATATAATTAATTTATTAGAAGATTATAATAGCTTAACATATCTATACATATTCACCCCAATAACAATTGACCAATGTGTTCAGGCTAAAACAATTACAACCCTAAATTACTTTAATAATCTCTGAATATCACTTTAACATTTCAAAGGTGACAGCAACTCATATTTGTGGGATGATAATTTTCAAATTTTTTTAAATACAGGAATCAAACATGTATCATAATATTTCCATGGATTCAGTGATTCAACTCTGATCTGACCTCCATATGGTAAAAGCAATGAGTATTTTTCTGCACACTGTACACAAATAGGAACTTCCACCAAAAATATCAGCTCTGCTTTTGTGTCAATCCTCCACGTGCAGGTAAATATTGACGAGTCCTATTCGTCACAGGGCTCGTCCACGCGCACATCCATAAAGTCCGAATAGAGTCACTCTTTGGTTCACCGTAAATAATATTCAATGGCAGCGGAGAACGCAGCAAAGCCTCCGCATCCCAGAACCCCGGCCTTCAGACCAGCTACAAAACAGAGAAACAACACACGTGAGGATAAAAGAAATAGACTAACCTTCAATTTAAAAACATCACAGCAAAATATACCAAATCCAATGGCTCCTCCTGTCATACAGCCGCTGTACACCGCGTTCTTCCAGTCTCATTTCCCTCGGTGCTGCAAATGAAAAACAGAAAGAAAGAAATTAATAAATTGTTGTGCACCAGAAGTGGAAAAAAAAAAGTTAACACTGATATTAGAATGATCAGTTAGCATACATCATACAACATTTTGTACATCACTTGGAGAATAAAAAACAGTTGTGCACCAGAGGGCGCTATCGGACCATTTTGATGAGGAAGCGGAACACAACTACCATGAGGTTCCCAAATCATCTCAAACATTCTACATGGGATATTGAATGGCAAAACAATAACAACATATTAGTTCTGTCCAAGCGCCATCAGAGATCGTTTGAAAGAGGCTATGAGGCCAAATAACAAATCAAGCCAATAAAACACTGCTCTCAAGTCAATCTGGACACAGAGATTGTACAATTCCTGACAGACGAATGAGTAAGTAAAGGTGGATCATATTTTTTTAATTTAATTTTTTATTTTTATTATACTATATTGATCCCTTTAAGGGGGAAATTTGTCTCTGCATTTGACCCATCCCTGTATATAGGGAGCAGTGGGCTGCCAATGACAGGCGCCCGGGGAGCCGGGGGTTCAGTGTCTTGCTCAGGTACACTTCGACACGTGACACGTCCCAGTCGAGGATCGAACCGTTGACCTTCCGGTTCCCAGACAACCCTCTTAACCCAGTGATTTTCAATAATATTTCCATTGAAGTATGAAATTATTCTGCTGTGTTTTTTTTTTTTTTACTGATGCACCTAATATTTGACCACAAATGATGTATTTGGTCTTTTGGGTGGTGTGTTAGCAAAACCATGCAACTTTAAAAAAAACTCCCATAATGCCTAACACATAAACAATCCAATTTTGTGCACAATATATAAGCAGCCAGTAGAATGGACAAGTCAGTCTATATTAGTGTTACAAAATAAACCACTTTATATATATTATACTGTGATTAACCTTGGTTTACATGTAGGTTTATTTATTGTCTTTTCCATTGAGGATGCATGAAAACTAAATTGGATCATTATTAGCCAGTACGGATCTTCTGTCTATACGTAATATCGGAAATCTATTCTTCTCTCAGTCCATGGTTGAATGGGATTTGACATTAGATTCTCTAGTGTAGAATGTGAGACCTATTCTACTAAAAACCTGCAGACCTGAAGGGAAAATATACTTGGGCTGCGTCCAAGACTGACTATTGCACGGACCAATTTGCTTCATTTATGACCAAGAAAGTTTTGAATTATGACAACACTGTATTTCTTGCTCGTCCTGTGCTCTTTAATGTGTATATTGTTGCTGATGAGATTAATGTGGCTAAGCTTGATGCGGCGTGTCCCAGCCTCCACCCACAGCTGCATGGCTCCATTGTTTCACTACCTACCTTCAGGGTCTGTTCTGAGCTCCAGTCATTTTCCATTGACAACAGCACCTATAGCTGTAACTCCACTCTAATCCTGCACCACTAACGTGTCCCTTGCTGCTGCTAAGACCTGATACTTTGATATTGGAGATAAGAACTGAGAGATACTTAATAATACTAATTCAGTGCAAGTTCCTGTGCATTTTGACTTAACTGTACAATCTGGGAAGTCTTCAGCTAATTAGAGCTCGTCAGAATCTCATATCAAGTTGCCTAAATTCCACGGTCTCGATGTGAGAAATCTGCAGCAAATTATTTGGGGCTTTGGTGTTAAGTGGTGGTGATTGTAAAGGCTACCAAGTTTAGGCAAGTTAATGAAAAATACCTTGAAAAACCTTAATATATTTTGTTAGCCTTCAAAGATGCTTTTACTTCTGCACTAAGAATATCATAAGCTCAACACAAAGTCACAGCAGGTGAAAAAGAGGATAGTAAAAATGAAGGAACAGGCCATCTGGGCAGAGCAGTGATGCACATCTCAACCAGTAGGTGGTGCCAGAGTTCCAAGGATGAGGATATATTAGGTAGATCTACATGGTCCAACCTTACTAAAAGCTTTCCCAAGAAAAAGTGATTTTCATCTGAGTAAACTGGAACTAAAATGGCAAAGTGAGTTTTACCAAATCGCCATGGGGGCCAAATTTAAGACAGATCAGTTCAACATGAGTTTGTGATTAAAACAGATCACTCAGGTGGATCTCTTTTTCGCACTTGTATCTTGTAAAATGTTTTTGTTTTTAGTCAATACCTGAAAAACTGACATAGGACATGCATTGAAATAAAATACATTTATTTAATAACAGGTTCAGGTTTAATAAACATTACCAATGATTGATGAAGGTTGATGAACATAATTAACCAGCAATTCACCATTAAAATCCTTTCAACTAAATTGAAGTCTGGGCTTCAAAAGGCCTGTTCTTAATGATGCATCCATCCCAAGTGGAAAAACGCATGTTCATGTAGTTATAATCAAATACTTTGTGTCAGATTTTCCACAATATAAATATCTAAAGACCTTGTACGGAAGTGTTACAAAGAATTCCCAGTTTGCCCTCACCCAAACTCTCCATCCATGAGCCATACTGGAGGTAATAGAGTGCCGGCCAAGCCACACCTCCTCTGACATGGAAAATGACTAAGTAGAAAAGCAGCTTGAAAAAAGGTTTTGTCACATTGTCTTAATGTAGAGCCATTACTAAATTTAATTAAAAACAATAAATGACTCACTTTAAGTGTAATTAAATGGTACCACCTACTTATTACTTCCATTAATTATATTATCAAGAAATGGGATTTCATGCAAATCATCTAAAACACTTTTCTGCCTGTTCCCTGGGAAATATAGACGTATCCCAAAGGAGTAACAGAAAGTGTGCTGCATTGGTATCAAAGACCAGTCGAGAACAAGGCTTACATCAAACATGCGCTGTCTATCTGAGGGGAACCATTTACTCTATTCAATTAGAATGCAACAATGATTTTATTCATCATATGGTGCTGGAGGGCTGGAGATAACAGGTAACTACCATGGATAAACTGATGACCACTGCATTTTCTAATGATAACACTAATAGGATAAACAACAACACAACATTCAATAGGGTTGTTTCTTTCAGATGTGTTGATGCTCTCTTTTATGACAGGATACGTAAAGATAAAATTGCCTTTTTTCCGGTGAACAGTGGGTATCATTTCATTTTCATGTGTGAAACTTTTACCATGTATTTAAAATGTGCAGTGTTCAATCTTTTCCGTTAAATTCTTTAATTAAATGGTGGAACAGTCAGTGTATGCATGTCTTCAAATAGTTGTATTATTTTTTAAATTTAGAAATGTAACTCTAATTGTGCAATCACACCTATAAATATGTTACGCATTCTTATTATGAAGGCAATATCAGGATCGGGTTGCATATTCTATTCGTAAATCTCTAGCTAGATACATGGAGACATATGCTCGTATCCAATTAAGCTAACCTAACCAACTTTATGTGGTCATTTAAGCTAACGGTATTGACATAATGTTCATACAATTTGAGCTATGCTGGGTTCATTTTTGCAAAATGTAATTTCACGAAAGTTTACATCACAACGAAACATTTTGATAAAGATACGATATTATCATCTCTTTTCCTCTCCAGTTTAAACGGGCGCTATATTAGCAAGCTAACGTTACTTTTGTTGCTAGCAGCTAGCTACACAACAGCTACAGCTAGCATTTACTGGGTGTTAATATTTAGTAACAACTAATATCTAAATGACAAATAGTTTGTGTTTGCAATTTGTGATGCACATGAGGCTTGAACTTATGGTTGGCTACAAACAGCTGATGCGCCGGTTCAGGGTTTAGTCTATCAATATCTTTACTTTTTGTTACATGCTGAGGTGGTAATTCTTAATTACAAGTAGGAATCACATTTTTTTTTATTTCACAAAAATGATCACAATACGAAACAGCATTTGATAATTACGATTATATGAGATTATAAAAAAAAAATTAAACAAACTGCCTTAAGTGTTTAGCAGTTCAGCCAAATGAAGGTAGAGAGAAATAACAAAATAACCCTTCTTCCCATGAATGCGGGCCAAAACTAAAGAAAAACATCATCACAGAGCAACAGAGTATAAAAGAGAGGCATCTATAAGAGTGAAATTATTCTACACGTAGTCAAATCTCTGGTTGGACGTCCTTCCCTCCACACTATGGGCCTTGTAGGAGTCATTGAAGGCTGGACGGGATCTGGGGTCGGATCTGGGGTCGGATCTGGGGTCGGTCTTGTAGATAGTGTGTTGAGTGGAGGCTTTGTAGGCCATCCCGTCGTACCTGAAGAATATCAAAACACAAGCAACTTTAAATAAAACACAGACAACAATGCAGAGTCTAGTTTGATGTGTTTTGAGTTGCTGGAGTGATTTTTAATGTCCAGACTCGCGCTCCTCCCTCCTCATCAGTCTCCAAACAACCCACCACTCATAAATATTAAAAACAATAGGATTGAAAACATATTCACAACGAACAGTGTGACCAGGAGAAGAATATAAGGATTTCCGTGTATTGTTTTGCAAGCAGCCTCGTAAGCATTTGCAGCTCTGCATTATACATGCAGAGAAAAAAAACATACACACACACACACACACACACACACACACACACACACACACACACACCAAATGACTTGCATTTACATGTTGCTGAGTACATGTCCTTAGCTTTCAAAGGAACATTTTATTATTGTTTACTGCCCCACAGCATAACAGAATATATCCATGGGTGATTGATATTGTTCAGCTTTGTCAGAAGCCAAGACTTCATTTTACAGCAGCAAACATACAATCTGCTCTAGTATTTTGCATGTAGCACCTGCTTACTAGACACTTCTGTTGGGAGTCTCTGCTGTATCTAGCAGGTTACTCATCTCTGATACTTTACTGCACAGGGAGACAGAAGTTCTGTCAAAGTTGCTGCCCGGTTCTGTTAAAAGGTCAGAAAAGGTCACAGATGTTGCAACGTACCGTTGCTTACTATCCGAGGACATTCCGCGGCAGGCCAGACACATCATGATGCCTCCAATGACCAGGATGGCTCCGCCGATCCAGCCCACGAAAAGAGCGGGGCCAAAAGTGTACCTGAAAGAAAACGGTGGTTAGTAAAACATAAAGTGCTGTAGCAGATAAAACCGTGGCCTTAACTCGACTGTACCTCGGAGTCAGAGATCCTGAGAGTCCACCGATACCCCCTCCTCCCATCCCGTCGATCCCGCCACCAGCATACGTCGTGAACCGGAAACTTTGCACAATCAAGTTAGCAAAGGCCGACACCCCAGCAATGCCACAAACCCCTACGAATTAAGAGCAAACGATGGGGTGAGTGCAGAACGGCATCGCTGTAATAGCAGAACGAGACACTGTGAACGCAACTGCACCTGCGAGAAGAAACAAAATCCCGGATGTCAGAGTCATTGTGGCTTTGATGCTGTCCTCCATGTTCCCCATTTTCAAGCACTTCATTGAAAATATGGCGATCAGGCAGCCGATGGCTCCGAGGACAATACCGACGATCATCAAGGCCCTCACGGCCTGGAGCAGAGCTGAAAGTCAAGGTTACGGCATTCAGAACATTCCTCAGCACATTGTTTGCTCACGAAAAAAAAATTGGCAATCCGTCAAAGTAAAATGCCGTAAAAATAACACAAGTACATATTTATCCAAGTACTGTACAACTTTGAGGTAGTTCAACTCTGCTTGACTGGAAAATATCCTCCGCTATATTTATTTAACATGAACATGTACTAATTAGTTTGGAGGTTAGGATTTTCAACACATGATCAATAAATAAATGATGATGCATTTTTTCCCAAAAATGTAAGTTGTTACAAAACTTCCCAACAGGATATAAAGTTGTTCAAATTAGCGGCATCTCGACCAGCAACAACACACAATGCTGCTTACACATGAGTAATGATCCTTTATATAAAATATACAACAGCAAAACACAATACTTATACTGTAAATATATTTTCCTGTTGACTCTGTACTCGTAACAAAGTATTTTCACAATACTTTTATTTCTACAAGAAAGAAGAGTACTTCTCCCACCACTGTCAATACACTACAAAACACAGACACCAGAAATTACTTGTTATCATTAACATTTTCATATATATATATTCAAGATATTGTCTGACTAACAAGAAACTGCATATCCTGTAAACAAACTTGTTTTTTTGTCATATATCACTTTTGATATAAAAGCAAAACTCATTACTGAGTTCTTAAATTGCTCAAGATTAAATTGTATTTGCCTAGCACCATACAAAGGCAGTTCTGGGTGCTTTACTTAATACAACAATAAGGTAGAAACACACTCAGACACATCAACACAGGCATACGTACATAACTCCTTCCACATACAAACACATATACAAAAACAACAAGTACATGACTTAAAGGGGTGCTGAAAGGACTTCAGTTTGCTCCTTATGAACTTGTGAAAGTGTTGGTTCAAAATCTCCTGAAATGTCTTTTTTTCCCAGATATCCCAGATATCAAGAATATACTTTAAATGGCGCTTAGTGAGCTCACCTAAAATGAGTTAAAGTAGAAATATATTAAGAAAGAAGAATTAGTTTTTTCCAGCAGCAGCGATATATAAAAAATCATAAATCAAGGCACCATGAGTGAAACATTTTGACCCAAATGCCATCTTTCAATGGCCTGAGATGTTGTACCTGTATTATTCCAGACTTAAGCCTTTAAGACCGTATGTACAATATGCTCTACACTACATTCAGCTGTTAAGTACAGATTGTGGAAATGTACTTTACATTGTGTGACACTCCGGTAAAGCTTGTGCTTGCTCAGCTAAGCTTTGGATGTCTCATCAAATTTCCATTTGATTCCGGAGAGACACCATCTTTTCTGCAGCCCGCTGCATTTTTATGCAGGTGGGAAATGGAGAAAATCTGCCCTAAAACCTCCCGAATATTCTAAAGTACATTCCGGGGTCCTTTTGGAAAATGTTCTCCTTAATCCAGCATGAGGAGAAACGTTTGATAAATGTCTTCTTCTCTGTGAGTGTAATTCTCTTACCTGGCAGTCCCAGGATGGTAAAATACGGCCTGCACTGCGTTGTGCCGTACGATGTCCCTACGCACGAGTTCCACAACCCAGAATAGGTGTAAAAATTTGTCACAATTGTAAAAGATCGATCCTGCAAGCTCCACATGTCCATTGCTGTTGCAGCTGTAATTAAGAATTGCCCCAACGCAGACAACATGAAGCCTATTAACTGAATCATCGAGGCCGCCATCTTAGATGTCCCGCTCTAACAAAGTTACTGCCAATGTCATGGAGTAGTGAAATGGCAGTGTCTGAGCTCCTGCTTATCTTTATGTATGCTTCAACAAGGAACAGGTCTTATCAGGTGTTTACCTGATTTCATGCGAGTCTTTGTCCCGGTTTCAGGTAAACGCTGGCGATGACAATTTCCACCCCTTGTTATTAACAAAGGGTGTGGTTTGAGCTTGCATCATTATTTTCCCATCATTCTCAGGAAAAACTGAACTGAAATGGTTCGATGTTATTTCTCTCGTGCCTTCATTTTCTAGACATGACAACTTGATGATATAACGGCTTATTTAATTTTTTTGCCCCCAATATTCTAGTACAGGGCCAATAAGTAACAGCATATTAGACCACACAAATACAGCCATATTGACCTGTTTATTTACTTTAGGGTCTGTAGAACCTGGCTATGAATTTACATTTGGGGAAATGTATTTATTCTTTAATGTTTTTCAGTTTTTGTTTGGTTCCCTGAAGTATTTCCGCCCCTGTTGCCTCTGTGTTGCTCATGACAAATAAAAGCGTACCTGGCAGTCCCAGAATAGTGAAGTACGGTCGGCACTCTGTGAAGCCGGAGCTCTGCCGGACGCACGAGTTCCACAGGCCCGAGTACGAGAACACGGCCGTCACAGGGTTGTCGAAGAGGTCTTCCGTCGCCCACTGGTCCATCCCCGTTGCCGCAATTATTGCCGCCACCCCTAACAAACTGAGGAGGAAGCCCATCACCTGGCAGAGAGTGGCCGCCATGGTGCTATCTTAACTCTGCTCCTGGGGGGAAAGAAACACTCCTTTATTCAAAAGCCAACGGCCTCTCCTCTGCACTGCAGGCTGTGTGTTTGAATATGATATCGGTAGGTGCGAAGTCAAGAAATACCTCAACAGTGACCCCGCTTGTTTGCACACGGCCCAGTTATGTACAGAAGAAGTTGGGTGGAGTGTATGATTAAAAACAAAGATTAGTGTTGCTTGTTAATCCTGGTCCATAAAAGGTGAACATGGTGTGGTTCTCTCATTATATACATATAGTCACTTGAATTATTTTAACTACAAACAGTGTTTGTCGAAACTCTGCACTGCTGCTTATGGGTTTTGTCGGCAGGCTACTTCCTTCTTAATGCTTTACAATCTAAATGTCGTTGGTGTAAACTGTTCTGAATTTAATTCATCAAGACCCTGAAAGCCTACAGTATTCTCATAATCAGCCTCTCCCTATGAGCGGTTGGGTTCTAACAGGAACACGCCATTTTCTTCCAAACTTACAACAGTTTTGGTGATTTCACATGAAAGAGTTGCATATTTGTTGTCTGGGTTCAGTGTTTTGATAAGCTGGAAAAATCAGGCGTCACATACGTCTGCGCACCAATCCGGATTCAGCAATACCCACACCCACACAGTCATGATGAAGCACTTTAAGCTAGTTTTGGGACTCTGAAAGGAATAGTTAGAAATTTTTGTTAATGCACTTATGTACTTATCCTGGTTTTGTAGGAACTTAACTAAATCCTCATAACAGCATCTACAAAGAGTATTTGTTATATCTCATCTGTTATCTGACCAAAAACTTTGAGTGTTTTTTGGCGGGTTATGTACTATTTCTTGTCTGGGACCAGCAACTTCCTGAAGTCTGGCCATTAAACGGCGAATTGTTGACAAATTGATGTTTTTATACTTCGGTTTTTGTGTGGATTAAACAAATGAGGTGGAAATGTTTTGGGAGACATTTTCAGGGATTTTAAAAGAGCTGTTCGTGCCTGAATATCCTAACAATTGCTGCCATTCGTGTTTCTTTGTCTTCTGACATTGAACATTCAGTCTCACGTTTTGATGGTTGACAAAACCACGTAGGTCTACATCCAGCACACTGCGTGGTGTTTACAGCTTCTTGGTTGAGTCATATCCTGATGGTGGGAAACCTGCATGTGATGGGATGGGCTGGGATGTGGCAATACCAGGCAGGGTACTAAAGACATGCAAATATTTTCTCCCATTACATTTCAAAAATCGCAAGGAAACATTGAGCATTCCTCTGTTGTGATGCAGGATAAGATGTAAAGAAATACGCTGTAATAAGGCATTGATATGAGCCTGACACTACAAAAACGAATGCTTGTATTTAGTTGGTTTATTCGGGCCTGTTGATATATTAACCAGTCAAACCTTTACAATATGAACGACTTTTTATCAGTTGTATGTACAAATGTAAAACTTAAACTGGACTGTTTTGTTTTTGAAGCACATTTACAGGTTGAACATTGTCCGACAGTGTGCCTCAGGGCTGTGTTGAGCGATACTAGATGACGATGTTGTTGGGGTGGCACAGGCAAAAGTAAATACTGATATGATTGTAGCCAACTGAAACCAATTTGCATGAGGCTGATATGTCGAGGAGAACTTGAGACACCAGGACTGAGCTGAAACTGGGTTGGGGCCTTGGTCAGAGAAAAACACAGCCTGTAATAACATAGCATTTACATATACAGTTTAAGAAACAGACAGAACCGTAACTTTGTTAAACTTGAGTCAGTCAGTCAGGCGACTGGAGGGAGTTTATCCAAAAAATGTAGCTTATTTTGTGCATTTTTTATACATGAAAAGTAAATATGATGTGACTATTGTTTCTGACTGCTCATGGCTAAAAAGGCAATGCCAGACACAAATTATCACCTTTTGAAGATGGAAATTATTAATAATTAATTTGAGAATAATACGACATGGGAAATATATATAAATATATGTGTGTGTGTTTTACATTAGCTCTACCTATCCTGTGCATCTATATCTATATCATATATATATATACACCTTTAAAGTAACCACATCTAATTCATATTTATATTGCACAATGTTACCAGAATCTCAGCATTTACTCGGTGCAAGTATTCAATAAATAATCAATCATGTTGTTGTGAGTAAAATCCACATGAGCTTAAGACAAGTGGCAAGTAAGGTTAAATAAATGTGTTTAAAGGCAGACTTCACCTCTCAGGTCACTCTTTGCACAGTAAATCACTAATGAGATGGTTGTGAAAGTAGTTGAAAATAACCCACCCGGTAAAGCATACGCTCCCCAAACACACACACACTCACACAGGCGACCTGATTTGATCACTGTCAATAGAAGTAACAGTGGCATGCTGCACTAATGATTTTTGCTGTCTGCTGTGCAAAGCCATTTGTCCCCCAGCAGCCTGAACCTTAAGCAAACAACTTTTCCAGCATCTGCAGGAGCCACTGTTTGCTTATCGTCGGCTGCCCTTTGCGAATGCACAGGGAAAGAGACGCTACTTCACACATGTGGCTACGATCGCAAGACCTGTTTGTTGTGAAGGTGTTGTTTTTGCCGTGAATAAAAAGGCTTTCTCGAGTACTGTAAGAAGCAGCAAATCAATGCTGAGTGTTGTTATACCCCTAAACAAGTAGGCCAGTCAATACAAACTCATGCTCTTCACCCACATTTTGATTAAACCTACCGAACTCACAGAACCTACAGAAGATTTGTGCCCAAGACATCTGGAATATTTCCTTTGATGGAGTGGTGTAGCCATAAAAACATCAAAGAGTCTTTGATTTGAATATTTCACTCCGTGCAAACATCATACATCATACAGTGAAGCTCCAATGAAAACTTGGAACAAGCTGATACAGAATACATGTATGATACAGGCAGACATAGCAGACATGGCAGATATGGAAGATATGGACTGAGGTCATTTTGACATCTTAAACTTACATTCATTGCTTTTGTTGTGTCCACTTGGGAACAGCTCAACAAGCTACTACAACATTGTGAGCTTACAAAAATGACCAGCCCGTCAAATACTGACGCTTTGTCACACTTTACCTTGGCATCTGGTACCGACCCACAATGCACCTTTAAGTGTTGTAGATGGGTCAAACAAACACAGGACTTTCAACCAGGAGACCGATGTTCGAGACCGGTGTTCGTGTCCCAAAGATACTTAAGTGATGTTAATGATTTCCGTACTTATATTACGTTGTTTACATTTTACTTAGTTTCCGTAGTCGGGTAATTACAATCCGTGGTTTGTCATTACAAGCATTCACAGTCATTTTATCCATTTTTATAATAGCAAGGCTAAGAGTCTACATCTTAGCTACTGGCTCTGTGAGCCTGATGAAACGTCAGCAAAGTAATTTGAATTCATCCTGAGGGGGACATGAATATGTGTTGCTTATTTAAAACATTTCTTTAGACATTTTGTTGGTAAACGTGAATGTCAACCTCATGGTGGCACTAGAGTAAAAGTCAGGGAGTGGCTAACGGTACAGGGATTCATCTTCAGGGGACCAAGATTGTCAGAACAACATTTCATGGCAATCCATTCAGTATAGTTGTTGACATATTTCGGTCAGGACCAAGATGGTGGACGGACCACCTGACCAACCTGGAGCCATGTGGTCAGTATGGCAAACACATATTAGGGTAGCTATAAGCTGATTAAGTGGAAACAGTATAATAAGGGGTTAAAACGTGATGCAGCCCCCACAAATGTGCAGCATCATCTGCTGTCATTTTCTCTGACTTTGTCAAAGAAAAAGTTTGGGTGACAGACTTTGAAAGAAAATGTCCACACCAACTTTTTATTTTGAACTCAGAGTCGAGAGCTCCATTACCACTCAGGCTACAATAAGAAAACACTAGAAAGAGAAGTGCGAGGAATGATGAAAGGCATGCCTCGGAAAAAAATGGTAGAAAAATGGCCCATTTACTTTCTTCCACCTTTTGGGTGTCTAAATGGAGCTTTATTCTGCAATCAGCGCACTGCCGCCCGGTGGACACTAGAGGGCAGAGGGAGCGCAGAGAATGCAGGCGGGCTGGCGCAGCAGGGAGCAAACTTGCTGGGAGTGTGATAAGAAGTCCTTTCACGTAACACGGCCCGGAGTGAATGTGCTATTTCTCCTGGGGCCATCAGGAATTGCTGCAGAATATGAGCGGGTCAGGAGGAGGACAATTTCAGTACATAGGTCCTTCCGTGCATACTGGTGTAAAAGACAGAAATCAGTAGGAATTAACGCAGTAATAACATTTGCTTATAATAGACAAAAAGAGGTTTGAATGTGAGCGAGAAGGCAGACCATGGTGATCTGGTTGTGTGCTAAATGAATCAAATGAGTTCCAGCTTTCACCCACTTCAAACAATGAACACTACCTGGGCAGCCAGGGAGACGAACCCACACACAAACACCCCCTACACACACACACACACACACACACACACACACACACACACACACACACACAAATCTGTTACATTTGAAGAATGAGAGAAAACTTCAAAAATCCCTGAGCAATTAACCAATCACAGTCCAGCAGGACAGTGTGACAGAGTGCACACATCATTGGTCGACAGGCTCGCATCCGTTATGCTTTCAGTGGGGCGAGATCTAAATTAGAGTGCCAATTAACTCTGCTAATAGCCCTCTCCTATTTAATCTGGAAGACAATGGGGATT